CTGGTGCCGATGTCTGGCGACTCTACGATACCTTTGGCTTCCCTGTCGACCTTACTCGCCTGATGGCAGAAGAGAGACAGTTGACCATTGACGATGCCGAGTTTGAAGAGGCCCGTCTCAAGGCCAAGGAAGCCAGTAAAGGTCAGGCTAAAACTGCCTCTGACCTCCTCAAACTGACTGTTCACACCCTGAGCACACTTGAGAAGAACGGCGTCCCAAAAACTGACGATGATGCCAAGTTTGGAAAGGGAAACATCGTCGCCAACATCAAGGCTATCTGCCATGGAAAGGACGTCATTGACTCGACCAAGGACATCCCTGCCAATGAGCAGATTGGTATCATTCTCGACAAGACCAACTTCTACGCCGAACAAGGTGGTCAAGAGTACGATACTGGAAAGATCGTCATTGACGGTCAGGCCGAGCTGGATGTTCAGAACGTCCAGATGTATGGCGGCTATGTTCTACATACTGGCTTCATCAAATACGGTAACTTCTCTGTCAACGACTCTGTCATTGCAGAATACGACGAACTCCGTCGATGGCCAATCAGAAATAACCATACTGGTACCCATATCCTCAACTTCGCTCTTAGAGAGGTTCTCGGTGATGGTATCGACCAGAAGGGGTCCCTTGTTGCCGCCGAGAAACTACGTTTCGACTTCTCTCACAAGTCCGCCATCTCGGACAGTGATCTAGAGAAGATTGAAGCCAAGTCTACGGACTACATCCGTCAGAACTGTGCTGTCTACTCACAGGAAGTTCCTCTCGCAACTGCTCGTGAGATCACCGGCGTTCGTGCTGTGTTCGGAGAGACATACCCCGATCCTGTTCGCGTGGTATCCGTCGGCGTTGAGCTTGACGAGATTCTAAAGAACGTCAAGGACCCTCGCTGGGAAGGTGTCAGTATCGAGTTCTGCGGTGGCACCCACGTCCAAAAGACCGGTGATATCAAGGACCTCGTCATCCTCGAAGAGAGCGGTATCGCCAAAGGAATTCGTCGTATCATTGCCGTAACAGGCGAAGATGCACATGAAGTCCAGCGTGTCGCTCGCGAGTTTGGTGAACGACTCAACCGCTTCGAAAAGATGCCTGCCGGTCCCGAGAGGGATGCTGAAATTAAGAGTCTGCAAGTCGATCTTAACCAGCTTACCATCTCTGCCGTTGAGAAGACCAAGTACCGCAACCAGTTCACCCAGATCCATAAGAAGATCACGGATGCACAGAAGGCCGCTCAGAAGGCTGAGGTGAAAACTGCCATTGATGCTATCTCGGCCTACTTTGAAGAGAACAAGGACAGCCCATCACTCGTCATCAAACTGCCTATCACTGCAAACCAGAAGGCAATCAGCGAGTCGTTGAATCACGTCAAGACAAAGTTGAGCGGTAAGGCGTTGTACGTCTTCGCCGCTGATGCATCTAAGGTTGCCCACGGATGCTACGTGACTCCCGTACGTTTCCCCTGCCAATCCCCTACTACAACCATAGTACTTGCCACTAATGTATCTTTTCATAGGATCTCACCACCAAGGGTGCATCAGCTAACGAGTGGGCTAGCGCCGTGTCTAGCATTATTGGAGGCAAAGCAGGAGGCAAGGCACCCGTTGCGATCGGCAACGGTACTGAAGTTAACAAAGTCGACGAGGCTTTGGATGAAGCCACAAAGTATCTAGAGAAATTCAAACTCTGATCAGGCTCCTGGTCCTCGTTTACGCTTGGGTGACAAATTCTGCATTTATTCCTGTTTTCTTGCATCTGTTTTTTAACTTCATCGGAAAGGGTATATCATATCATCGGTGGGGGTTCATATAGTAACTATAAAGATAACGAATGCATCATAGATTTGGTGCCTTGTTCATTAAAAGAGCTGACGTGTAATAACCGTTTACAAGTGTAGATAAGCGTTTAAAACAAATCTGTACGACCCCAGCTATGGTCCATTTAGTTATTCTTTTAAACCAAGCTCGTGCATGTTTGAGGTGCTGCGCGATATGTCTCATGCCGTACTTGTGGTTGTTGGATAATTGCATGTGTCGTTTCCTACTGCAGCTATCCGATCCTGCAGGCTCATGCTTCCTTCACCGTCTCGAGAAAGGCACTTGGAGATATTTACGCCTTTCCACGCCCATCGTATAGCCAACTCTTTAGAGTTGCCTTATTTGGCTGAACTATCATCCTTCATTACATCTCTCCGCACTGCGCAATCACAACGTCCTGGTTGGGCTTGTCTCTCGTAGTTCGCGTATTCTCTATCATACGCACAACATCCATACCATCCACCACACGGCCAAAGACAACATGTTTGTTGTTAAGAAATGGTGTGGCGGTGGTAGTTATGAAGAATTGGCAGCCGTTGGTATTTGGTCCGGAATTCTTCACCAAGCATATCCCAGGTTAGAACATATTCAGAAACAACAATAAGCAATATAGAAAGGAATCAAACACATACAGCCATGCTAAGCACACCCGGTCCATCGTGAGTAAGGTTGAAATTTTCATCCGCAAACGAGCCTGTTCCATATATGCATGCTCGACCAGATCCGTCACCATTAATGAAATCTCCGCCTTGAATCATAAAGTCTTTAATCTGTGTATACATCAGCATCTGCATCGTAAAGTAGTCTGACAATTAATGCATCCTATCGCACTGATGCAAATAAAAGACTTACAACTCGATGAAACTTGCAGCCTTTGTAACCCTGCGGCCGGCCACGAGCATTCTTCGTCTCACCGGTACAAAACTGTCTGAAGTTCTCAGCTGTACGAGGTACAACTTTGGAAAACAGTTCTATTTTAATACGTCCGAGTGGTTCACCTATATACCGCGTCAGTATATAGAACGAACTGGTGGTGGAGGCGGTTCATTTAGGTACCTCCAAGTGTTATATCAAAAAACACGATGGGGTTAGGGTTGTCCCCTGCGGGAGTAGTTTGCTGTTGTGCACTCATTTTCCAACTTATTTATTCTTGTGGTATTGGGCTGATAGAAGTGGTTTGTAGGATTGTCGTTCTGATACGTTGGTTGGTAGGTTAGTTAATATGTGTGGGCCATTAAGATGTTGGATATAACTATGGCGAACTAAAATAAGCGCAGCCGCGCACAAGGTCAAACACTTGAACCTGGACCAGAGTAAAATTCGTATATCCAAAACCAGGACCCGGTCGTGAACCTGAAGATCTTCTAGAAGTGGGTTTTACTATCATTAATGAGGCTCAAATGGATTTGGTGATCGGAATATATTCATCATATCGAGTAATTTTGTGTCCGTGTATTATCAGTTTATGTACTAATTGCATCCTCCTATGTCATCTCCCTTTCATATACACTATCACCAAGGTCCACGATCAACGTAGTTAAGGGCCACCACTATATTATATCCAGCGTTCCATAAATGTCATTGCATGGTCACCCGACTATGGGGGGGGTGAGGCCTATTAGCCCATATGTCCTGCGCGAACCCCCACTGTCTAGGCTGTCTATTTTCATTCGCCCTAGTGCCAGCCTACGACGAGGGAGAAGGAGTGGCTGTGGGTGTCGGGTTCGGCTGAGTTGGCTCAGAGCTGGGTTTACAAACGAAGCTGCGAACTTCGAACTTAAACCTGGAGATATTCTCCGTATAATGATCTGTCATTCTTCCCTTGCATTCAGGTTGCCTAACATGACTCAGTCAGCAATAGGAAGGGGCATAGAGTTTGAATATAAAGCAAAAGAGAAAAGAAAATGCCAATAGTCCGGAGACGATGGAGGGTAGACATACGAATAGAAGACACAGTCGTAGCCTTGAGGGATATCTGCGGCTCTGCGTGATTCCAGTTAGTCTCGACACGCGACTGATCCTGTGATAAACTATACATACTTAATCCAAGTGTTGAAGTCACTACACTGGCCGTCTTGCACAGTTACTGGGAGAGGAGACAAAGTGCCATTCGGCGATTCGTAGTAACCGACAACCTGCTGTAGCATTTGTTAGTACACATTTAGGCCAAGCGTGGAAAGAAATGATGAGTCTGAGAGCCAAGTGTATACAAGTGAGGTCCCTACCTTTGGTTCTTGAGCAACAACGGCTGTGGCGCAAAGGCCCAGAAACACTGCAGCGAGTGAACTGACGAGACGCATTCTGGCAAGGATGGAAATAAGAAAAACAAGAAGAGAAGGCTGGTTAGTGTTAAAGTGGCTTTCTATCAAACGAAACCGCGAAGACGGTCGAGCCCGTTTATATACAGATGAACAGGCGGCAGGAAGCATCTGCCGGTGCCTCGGTCTTGGAAGGCAACCCGTATTCTTGGGTGCCATTTTAGAAAGGACTGAGCCTAAGCGAAATCCACCAGTAGCACTGATGCGATTCAGCTAGTTGAACGACTAATAGTTAGACTACTAGATCGTCATAACTATAAATCCCGTGGCGTCTGATCGCGATGCCTTTTTCTTTTCTCACCACTTGGAATATGATTCCGAGCCCAGGTTCAGTTCCGTGTTGGACGGAACTGCTGGCAGCCCCAGCTATTAATAACAATGGCTGGAGGAAAAGGGGTGATATTTGGGCCGAATAATTCCAGTTTAAATCTGATGCACTGACATTCGTATTTCCGACTGTGTTTGGGGGTATAGAAGACTTTTTTCCTCGTCTAATGGAGCTGCCGTCTTCCAGCTATGGAACCGCCTAGAGCGAACCTATACTTAGGGCGGAACCAACCCCCCCTGTACCCCATCAGAGATCCTTTTACTCCGTACATCTGCTGCTGTTCCGCTGGAGTTCATCGTTTATCGCGATCATCGCAGACAAGATTGGAGTTGTTCGGTAGATGTACCCGCACAGAGCAGAGTTTGCGGAGTGAGAACGCAGTTCATCGCCTTCATTTTTGTTCTTTCGGAGACGGGATGATCCGAGGGCCAGGAGAGCCGTCCTAGCCCATTGCAGGAATCCCGATAGCTTCACCAAATGCAGCTGTGCCAGGCACTGCTCCCGTAGAAGCACGGAGTAGTCTATCAGTAGCGTTTGATGTGTGCAAACAACGGCCGTTTTTCTGTTTTTTTCTGCTTTGTCGTTGGAAGAAAGTTGAGGCAAGAAATCCAGCAGTCACGTGGTGCTCTTGCTTCCGAGGATTCCAAAGGATTCCCAAAGGGGCATCTTTGGACGTCACTTGTGCCGTTTGTACCTTTTTTGTATGAGCAAGTGAATATGCAGCGAGATGCACAGCGACACAGAGGACGAGATGCACAGCCAAGCGGGATCCAGGGCAGCGGCTATATTCTCCCTACACTGACCACTGAGAGAGACAGGCGAACGGCCGAGTTGCACGCAGAAGAGCGCTCTGAAACGCGGGGGATATACGCCTGGGATACTTCTGCTGGCGGTACCCCGTATTTGCTGGAGGCCGAAAGAGGTATCCGAGTACGCCACCAGGGTTGAGAAAGAACGCCGAAAGGAGGCGTCTTGACGGCGATCAGGACGGCGCTTGGAAAAAGAAACGGGTTCTTCTTCGCCTAGTTGCAAGGAATGATAGCACATTGTCGCACCGGACGCTCGAGGGCTTGATAACTGCAGGAAGCAAGACTTGCTCGACCAAAGCAGCAAGACGGATGAGACAGGAGACAAACAACTACGGAGCACGGAGTACGCTGAGATAGCGATACTAGAGAGAGACAAGCGAGAGACAGGGGGCGTATAAAAGACGGCACGACTCGCTGCAGGCTCATCCTTTTTAACCCTTGACTCAATCGCAGGTGCCAGCTAGTGTGCTGCGTCCTTCTCCACCCCGGACCAGCTAGCCGTGAGATATTACGTTCACGTCTCACTACTGGATATTACTATTCAGAAGAAATACTTGACGGTCGAAGGAGCCAGGCAAGACAGGGGCAGAACAAGGCAGAAAAGGCCATAGGTGCCATTTGAGCAGGGCCTTGCCCTATTTTTCGCCTCTATCTCTGGGACTCTCCGCCTGGGTCTAGACATATATGTTATTGTTGTCAATTTGCTGGGGCCCCTTCGCTTCGACTCCATAACATTTCGCACCCTTTCTCCACAGCTAATATACACAGCGCTGTTCGATCGATGAAGAACCCGCCAAGATCGGCCTGTTTCGCCCTCAACGCCCTCAAAGAGACTGCTGGCGATCGTTTTTTGGGCCAGCCGGCTTGAATCATCGAATTGGACAATTCGATTTGGGCCTACGCCATTCTCGGACCTGTCACGAATCAGAACCAGCCTGCACTCGAGTGGCTGAGTGTTGACTTATAATTCCCCCTTTATCCCTGCAAGCTCGCAGCCTTCAGGCTTTTTTAGAGCGCTCAAGACCAGTGGTTTTTGCTCTTGTTCTCCTCTTTCCGTCGAGACCCGCTCTCCGCTGTATCATAATCGTCTCCTGGGACGCTGGTGCGGATTACGTTCGTGCTTACGCCTGAACTTCTGGTTTCTGCAGAAGGCTTGATTCTTTGATCGTTTTTTCTACATATTCGCTCGCTGGTCTGTCTTCCCATTTCCTCACCGACCGACCGACGGCGTCGATCGAACTCGCTTGGTTGTTGTGCTGCTACACAACGGCCTCCCATATCCGTTGTGCCTTACAACCATGACTACCCCTTCGCCGTCGTCTACACCCGGAGCAAGTGGCGATTCGGGGTCAAATAACTCGCCTTTACTCTTCTTTGTTGCGCTCGGCTTTGGAGTCGTCTTCACGAATCTATGGTATTTCACAACACTCTTTTATATCACTCACTTTTATGGACAGATATTACACTCATTTGAGTCAGTCTCTAACTTGACCGATGGACAGGATTATTGTCGGCGTCAAATATTGCTTTCGCTATAACCAGCGACACCGCCAGGCTCGAAATGATGACAATGGCGACCCCATCGACATGGTTAACGTCCCTAGGACTCATCGTAGGAGGAGGGAGAAGAAACTCATGTCGATGGAAGACGTTAACAGTCGATTTCCCATCACAAAGTACAAGAGTTGGCGTGCTTCAAGGGCTGAAGCAGGCCTGCCTACTGCTGGTGGTATTGACAGCAACATCGACACACATACAAGCCGACAAGCAGGCCACCAGGAATCCGGAATCATCGATACATCTCGCACAACGACTTCGGCAGACCGAGGCGAATGCTCTGGCGCGATGAGCCCTGACAGCATGTTAGGGCGGGAATCGACTGACATTCAGGTACCTCCTGCAGCTCATGTACCTGCGGAGAAATCGACCACTGTACAGCCTCCTACTTCGCAAACAAATCCATCGCAGCGTATATCTACCGATAACCACAGCCTGAAACATACCGACTCTCATCTCCCCGAACACGACGATGATGACCATGACGACCACATTTCTCGTGCTATTACCAACGATCTCATCGCCAACCCTGGTGACTCTTGTGCCATCTGTCTCGACATTATTGAAGATGATGACGATGTGCGCGGTCTCACTTGTGGCCATGCATTCCATGCCTCTTGTGTCGACCCTTGGTTGACTAGCCGCCGTGCATGTTGTCCTCTGTGTAAGGCTGACTACTTCACTCCCAAGCCACGGCCCGAAGGCGAGGCTCCCGAAGAAGACCGCCGTGAACGTGGGAGAAGACATGGCAACAACAATGGGGTCAGTGAGGGTGAATCACCTTATCAGACTGCCCGTATGCCACCGTTTGCCTCAAGAATGGTTTTGGCCGGTAGATTCATGCCGATGCTTCCGGGTGAAGAAAACAATCGCTCTGCTCGTGATCGAGGCCTTCGTGTTGCTGGAGACCATGCAAATGCTGACGCAGGTCAAGACGGCACTCAGCCACAATCCAACGGATGGAGATCTCGCCTGCCGCGCCTGAATATCCCCTTCGGGAGAAATAGGACCAACGGCTCTCAGCAGGGCGATGCAAATGCATCGTCAGTTGTAGCTGATCCTCCTACACCAAGACAACTGGAATCTGCCAGCCATGTCTCAAGATAGACAAACTTGTCTTGGACGGCTTATACCCCTCCGCTACTGTACCATACGTACTCAATCCTCACCTCATCCTCCAATCTACGACTCATCTATGATCCGATTGTCACTATTTACCTCATCTTTCACTGGAACGAATAACGACCAATCCAAAATCGCACCCTACTTTTCTACTCCCTGAGTTTAGTTTAGCAGGAACATACCCATATGTCCCTTGAGGACAGCATTTTACATATCTGCCCGACGCCATATAGTATCTTTTACCCCCCTGCCTTAACGTTGTTCAATATCGAGCAGTGTTGATACTTTTATAGTTCAGCAACTTGTCCATACTAGTCATTTAGCTGTTCGATGTTATGCTCCGTTTGCTTTTCCTATCTGCCTTGCCCATTTACACTCCTGATACCCCCGTCTACACACCTCGCTCGTCACTTCCATGCATCGTGTCTATTGGTTTTTCATTGCGCCTGTTTTTTACACCGTGACTTTACTGGTCTGGCTGCTGAATGTTCCGAATTTTTCTTTCTTTCTTTCCTTTATCTTTGGGGCGTTGCATCTATTTTGCTTCAGGTGCAAAGGGTTTCTTGATGATTAGTTGATTGGCATGCCCTGGGATTTTCGATCAGTTGATATCCAGTAGCTTACCTATCTAATGGGAACAAGAAGCAAAGAATGACCTACTCTATATGATATTGTATATGATAGATTTGAATCTCTTTTTGAATTACGCTATCCCCGAATTTGAGCTCTAATATACGTGATTTTATATTAAGGTGTTACCATGAAACACATAATCTAGTAATGTAGATTATTATATTGGTGCATGTCCCAGGACAAAAGGGACATAGTTCAATGTAGGGTTGGATATATATGATTGAGCCGAAGAGCAGACGTATAGGAAATACTATACAAGCAAATTAATAACCCGCACATAAACTGCAAAATTTAGATCGACAAACACTGATATGGAAAAAAAAAAAAAAATCGAAGCTTTGTTTCATCACTTCTGCTTGGGGGGCGCGACGCCTGCACTGAGCACACCAGGCAACTCCTCTTCTCCAATGCTAAACAGCATTCCGACACCATAAGCAACTCCCAAAACAAGAACTACACTCAACCCGCCGATAAGCCAGAACTGCATGCTGACGTCCCTCTTTGAGCAGTCAGGGCCGCCCCACTGGACAGTCTTTGTCTTCCCATCTTTGTTGGTGGAAACAACAGTGCGGTGACACTTGCATGCATAGCAATCATTCTCGTTACTAGAGGAGGTGGAATTCTTCGAGGAAGTGCGTTTCAAATAGCATGATCCATGTCCCGAGCAGTTATTAGTTCGCTCAGTGCAGGTTTCATTTTTGGTGTAGCATACGGGCAGATGGAATGCGGGAGTAGGGTTGGCGGTGGCAGATGGTCTAGCCATGGAGGTGGAGGTGGCATCAGCACGGACAGCTTTCTTAGCAGCAGATAAGCTCTGGTGCAATTTCAGCTTGGATTTGTCGGCAGGGAGGCGTGTCTGGCTGCGGTTCTTGGTGTAGGTGTCGTATGAGACTGTTATGACGGTGGATTCCACATTGAGGTCAGAGCTAAAAGCAGCAAGGGACTTGAAAAGGGAAGCGAATTCCCCATCCTGGAGAAGGGGTGATTCCTAATGAAAGTAACTTGTAAGAATATGATATGCCATATATCTCGGGATTGGGTTTCGACTCACAGAAGCTCTAAGACGGATAACAAAGGAAGTATGTTTATATGTAGAAGAGCCCGCAATGACCTGCTCAATGAGTTTCTCAATCTTGGCCGACCCTGATGTACAATCCGGCATTTCGGAGAAAAGTTGGGCATCTTGAAGGCAGGCACCGGAGTTCTGGGAATGGTTAGTCCATCAAGATAGAATAGAAACAAGCAGCTTATCTGGTTTGAAACTCACTTGGCTTCTCAGAGCTACAAACCCAGTACATGAGGCCTCTTCTTCGCCATATATACAGGTATTTGGATCATGGCAACTCTGTGACTTTTCTGAAACGAATGAAGATAATATCGAATCGTCTAGATAGAATGCTGACGGGCTTGAAATGGAGAAATCGTGCGGTGTTTTTGTCTCCAGCGATTTGACTAAACATCATCACGTTAGCAGCAGGATCCATCAACTGCTTCAAGTCCCATACACAGCCATGCACTTACTGTCTTCTGAGCCCACGCCTTCAAGGATCAACAGCAGCTTGTGTGGTTGCTCTTTGTTGGTGTCGGTAAAGGGCAATGCCTGCTGGCCTCCAAAGAGATTCAATTCCCGGATAGTCTCCTCATCCACTTCGCCAACAGCAGAGGACGATTCAGGCCATCCCAATCGCCGTTCCAGCAGCAGTTTCGCAATATCTGGGCTCCGTTGCCGACTATCTCCAGCTCTCGGCTTCCAAGAATCCACGCCCGCGCCGTCCTCAAGCATATGAACGAGATAATCCTGGGCAAAGGATGTAGCTGTAAGCGCGGACAGCACCACCGCTAGGTTGCAGAAGACGGTTTTCATCGTGATGGCGCTCGTAGTCGTAGCTCTATGGATGCAGTCAGGTCCCCTAAACACAGGAGCTTGCCTGGTATCGATCGTATTGATGGCGACAGCTGGTCACTCTCCCAGCTACCCTGTGCGGCCAAAGTCGTCAGCACTAGACAGAGCAGAAGCTATCTCATCTGCTGGACCGTAGCTATCGACGACCGTCGGCGAGTGTGGTCGATTCTGTCTCTTCGTCGCTGGTTGTCTTGACCATCTCAACCTGAAGCAACTCAGCTTCAACGACGTGAGAGATGTTCACGTGACTGAGTTAACTCCATAATAATCACCGACTTCCAGAAAAAAAAAGTTGATAGACGCAGAGACGAGCCAGAGAGACAGGATAGAGAGATTAACCATTCGACTCCTGTATTTTTCGCATTGTTTTACTTATAATTTTGATTGCCCATTTACTATACACTCTTGCAGATACCCGATTCCTCTTCGTGTCCATTCTCCCAGCGATTTTAAAGGTGGTCTGACCGGGATCCTCCACATCCACAGCGCGACTCGGCGAAGCGAAGGTCAGGACTGATCTCCAGATCTTCAGTATGCTTTTGCGAATATAAATATACAAAAGGACGCCTGGTCAAATGAGTCTATTTTTCAGGGCGACAGGCTTCCGCCGTCCGTTGGTGCTCTTCCAGGTACGGCGTTTGATATCCTACCAACCACACGGGTTGATACGAGTACAACGAGTGAGAATAAGGGAAACATGGTTTCGGTGCGTCTCCTCTATATGACTGGGACCAGAGGAGCATACAAGCTTCGGGGGTGAGCACTGGCTAACACTTGTTTATTGTAAACTAGGCGAACAATTTGGACCATCGCGGCCTATGGCATAGGGACATATATGTGGGCGGAAATTGCTCTAAGGCCGCTTGACAAATTGGAAATTGATCCCGAAGAAGATGGACCTAGGAAACTAGAGACAACGGGAGTACAAAGGCCTGCTCGATCTCTTGGTGTTAATGATGACGAGAATGACACTGAAGAAGGGAAGGAGGATGACGAACCAATATTTATTCCGCTTGGGTTGCCCCGCCTGGTAGAAGGGGAACCATACACTCCAAACGATCCCGAATGGCACACGAATGCCAAGTTAGCCCGTGCCTCGGGCAATTTGCGATTCATTAAAGGTAGGATAGATTGGCAGGCATTGTTCACGGCTGGCTTTGATAAGGGGCTAACGTGGACATCTAGACCACCTCGTAATGCATGTATTGGAAAGCTTCTCCCGAGATCCTCGTATCATTCGCTTCACTGGAAGCCCTCTCCAAGTTAGATTCCTCCATCTAACTCATGCATTTCCATACAAAACGCCCCCAACATATGTGCGGTCTGGGTAAGCTTGATGTAACACCTCTGAGCTTTTAATTGTCCTTTACTAAAGGGGTTTGCAGATTGGAATGGTCCGATGATGGGTTTAAATGGACTTCGCAGCCTGTAACCACAGAAAGAGGGGACCTGATATGGAACGTGCTTGAACCACTTCGAGTCACAGCGTCATTCATACGCGCAGGCTATTATTATCTTGCACTAAAACGCGCCAGGCTGGAAAGCTTTTTGAATCGACTGCGTTTCGATAATAACGGCCGGCTAGATGCTCAGCGCCAGGCGGAAGAATCGGTCAACACCCCATACATCCTGCCCATTCTATCTTGGATGCCTGGAAGTAGCGAAGACACATCGACCTTTCAGAAACCCACGATGCTGGATAAACCAGACGTCAGGAGCAGCAGCCCCTTTCAGCCTGTTGTCGTCTACGATTTAACAGACAAAAACAAATATGGGGAGAATGATAAAATGCCCGATTTACGTTCCGCGGTGGGGTTGTTCTTGATGATGCTAAGACAATCGCCAGGCAGGTATAAGTCGCCGCCACCTGGGGTGTTCATTATTGCAGGGATGATAACCCTACATGGACCAGAGGGCTGGTGCAATGTCTACGCAAAAGGGGTTTACAATCCCACGAACAACAAGGTGGAAATTGGCATGGATTTGGTATCTATCATGCCTTATTTCCAGGCACCGCGCCGCAATTCGTGATACCCTGGTTTTGCCTGATTGGCGGGATCATGCCCTTTTCTTGCCTTTTATAATGCGTCACAGAGGTGTCCCAGATATTGCTTTGACGATTTTCTTTTCCATTCTATGCTTGTCTTCTGTTGCTTATTCGATAGACGGTGTTTGGAGCGGACCTCGGTATATACCTCTTTTCCCCCTTGCTTCTCTTCTTTAGGATCGGTTTGTCCAGTTTGTATTGATAGAGAGACGTAGTACCTTCTTCTCAAGACTGTATATCCAGTGTTGTTGTTTGACCAACTATTCAAGACTTGATATTGTGAGTCTCTGGCATGGCTGAGTATGACGTAATGTAAATATAGCTACTGAAAAGGCTCGCGGGGTTGAAATAACCAACAACAACCGATAACCAACCGATGGAATTGACATCTTACTCTGGCCCGCCCTGGAATTGTGCTCCATTGAGACCTTGAATCTGTCTGTTAAAGCTCTACCGGTGCAAACATGTCTCTTCAACCAAAATTCGCGGGCCTCAAGATGGCTGGTGCAGCAGAGGCCCGCCATACTCTTGAGATATGTATGTTTACCATGAAGCTACTACGGGGTCCATTAACTAACAGAGATTGACCGAACGATAGATCTGGACTATGTCTGCCCTGTATGAGTACCCGGACTTTCCCGAGAAAAACACTCTACTCACCAAATTGCACAGTTCTCTGCCAAACTGTTCAAAACGTTTTACGACCAAGTCCTCCCCTCACTCCCCGAAGCCGCCTCATCACGCCTCACGGTGATATTCCGCCCACAAATACAGCCATGGCACCCATCTTCCACTCTTGCGATTGAGGCAGCACTGGCTGTTCTCAAGCTGGCCCCTACAAAGTTCCAGCAATTTAGCGCTGCTCTGTTCGAGCACCAAAAGGAGTACTTTGATGCCAATGTGGTTAACGAGACGAGGAACCAGACCTACGAACGGCTAGCTAAACTCGCTAGTAAAGAAGTGGGCGTTGACGAGGAGGCTGTTATGGGGTTGTTGCGTATATCAGATAAGCCCGGTGCGGGCGGGGATCTGAATGGCGGGAATGGCGTGACGGCGGATGTGAAGATCATGACAAAGGTAAGGGGCTGTGAGAGAAGCATGGTACACCTTGCGGAAAGGGCCGACGATGTAATTGTGTATATACTAACGATGCTGGTAAATATAGGCCACCAGGGTTGTGGGCGTGCATGTTACGCCAACGGTGTTTTTCAATGTAAGTGGATCTATGCATGCTAGTATTAAGCTAAGTGCCGGGTTTCTGGACACTAACAGAGCTGGTGCAAGGGTATCGAGGAAAGAAGCATCAGTAGCAGTTTCACGAAGGACCAATGGCTCGAATGGGTGGAGAAGAACGTTGTTTGATGAGCCGAGATGCGATGTTGGGTAAACACGTCAGAGACCCAATAGATAGGGTTGATGTTTAATTAATTGCAATTTCTTGTCCAGAGTGTAGAGAGGGTGAGACCGTAGCTAGGCGAGATGGCGGGACAAAGTTGAAATAAAAAAACTGAGTATATATCTTAATAAAGATTCGGCTCTGAACTAGGTTTTATCTTTGAGAACAAAAGATAAGATAGTGGTTGTGGGAAAATAAAAGGAATCTTTGAGAGAAGTCGAAAGGAATCTGGCTCGCTAATATGATGACCCACGATGCTTGGGAATTGGCGAAGGTAGGAATGGAGGTCTGAGTAGAAGAGAGTATTTTTTTGGGCGGGAGTATAACGAGGAGAGGAGTAAGAAGCCGTTAATTTAGATTCGTGAGATAACATATCACAATAGCCATGAGAAAACGCCGGCAAATGGACAGAGCGAAAAGTATAAGGTAGGCGGAGGGCGGATGGATAGGCGGACGGGATGGGTTACTGGGAGACGGGCGGTTGGTAGTTCACGGGTCGCCTGGTAAAAAAAAAAAAAGGTTAGAGATTGGCCTGCCCGCGGCAACCGGGAGGAAAGATAGCGGCCACTCACTTGAATAGCAGAATGTGTGGTTCCGGCTCATGGACTTCGTAATGTTCCCATCCCAGACTCTGCACAGGTCAAGTCAGCATCGTGTTTTCTTACTGTTGTTCTTCCGTCCAGGTGGCGGTAGCCCGTACCTGAGTGATCCCGAGTCCCCGCCACTCTTCTTCCCACAACAGCTTCAACGTGCCCTTGGAGTGATCAAAGTATTCGGTGGGGATCTTCTTGAGCATGGGCTTCGGCAGCTGAACGTGTCTGTATTCATACTCGTTATCAGAATACCTAGTCATATAGCCAGTTAGCATGGGGCTCTCTGCCAAAAGCCGAGGGGGGGTGTTTGCCCACCTGGCAGAGTAGTGAATGCTGTCCACAAACTCCTCGAGTTTCTGCTTCTCAGAATCGAGGAGCAGTCTCGGTTTCTTATTCCGTCTAGACATCTCGATATCCATGGCGTCGTGCGCTTCGTCGAGGCCTCGTAAGGGACAGTTCTGGTGGTGCGGGAAAGCGAGGGTAGTCCAAGTGCAGGGTCTGCTGAGACAGGTGCCAGCCCGCACAGGTTTGCGCAAAGGAGCTCCAACGGAAGGACGAGAGAGAGTATCAGCCAAGTAGAGTGCTCAATGGGCGCCGAAGAAAAGGGCCAAAAACAAGGGCGCGGTGCGTAGGCGTAAGTCGAGTCGTAGCGACTGAGAAACTCGCTGGAGGGGTCAAAAAGGGCACAGTAGCGGCGGGTGCTCACGAGGACTGCGGAAGAGCTGAGCCGGCAAAAAAAACAAGTCCAACGTGCTCGCCGGGGTCGCACAAAACAAAGCACTCTCCGGCTGTCCGCGATGTCTCTGCTCTCGAGAGCGAGCGAAGATATAAACCAGTTCGAGGGCGGCAAAGCGTTCGACGGCGCAGGAAGAAAAGCGAAGAAGAAAGTCGAAAAGGTTCGTCCCGCGCTTAAAGTCCAGCGAGGGAGTAAACAAATAGCTAGCGAAGGCTATGATTGGTCAGAGATAAGTATACAGAGCCAATGAGAGAAGTTCAAGATACAAAGATGAGCCAATGATAACGTGGAGTTATTCAGAGCTCCATCCAATTAAAAAGATGGATGTTCTTAGTCAGCCTATCACATGACCCCCCAAAGCGGCAGCTTCACGACGCCTTTTCGTCGTCTTCGACTTTCGCATCTTTTGCGACTCCAAGTCTCGCATCGCCAGGCGCAGAAAGAAGAAGAAGATATTTCGCCGGCCTCACTTCTGGCTCCTCTGCCCTCCGCTGCGCGACCTAGATGCCCTCGCGACGCCGCCAGCCGGAGAAGCCGCCCGCCTTGCCTCTCTCCCTCCGTCCAAACCCCCCAATCGAAACACAAGGCTAGCTAAGCTCAGGAACCTGTCTGGTAGCTATGTCCACCAAGCGACGCGCAAACAATGGCGGGGCGCCAGAGCGGCCGCTCAAAGAACAGAAGCGGCGCAGAGTCTCGGTGAGTTGAGCGGTCTGTCCAGATTGTCGGCTCCCGCGTGCACAGATGGCGAAGAAGTTGGCCGGTTGTTGTGCTGGTGGTGGTGTGGCCAAATAGCTGTCCGGTTCAATGGGCCTTGCTCGGGTATACATCATAGTTACGGGGAAGGCTGCTTGCGCCCGCAGCGTTGGCCGCAGAGCTGTGCCCAGCCGGGGTAGTTTCGCGCCTCACGCCGGTGCTTGCTCAACAGGAAGCGTCGCGGAGGTCAGGCGAAGCTGGCTGCTCCTGTAACTGGTCGTCTATCCGTAGCGTTGAAGGTCAAATGAAGGGCTGATGGTCGCGCCGGGCGCAACATAGCTGCTGCACCTGTTATTTTACTTTTTTCTACGCCTTGATAGGCTTTTTTTTTTTAGTGATTGCTGGAAGAGCCGTGTACTAACGCCCGATTCTTGGTTCCCGTCATAGATCTACACGCCCGAGACCAACGAGACGCCCGAACGAACCACACGGCATGGCCTCGAGATATTAGATAAGATCAAGACAGCAGTCGATAAATAGTATGTTTACCTACCGATTGTTTATCGTCATTTATACGCTGTTTATCCTCGTTTATACGCACAGAGCTGACAGTGCATGCTTAGTGGACAGCCTATAGCTACCGAGTTCCTGGAGCTTCCTGATGGGGTTCGTGGATTCTTCCACCTAGTCTTGCCAATTTTTCGACTGTTCGCTGACATTTTTCTCAATAGAAAGAGTATCCCGAATACTACCTTACCATCCGACTCCCTATCGCTCTTGATATTATCGAGGTACCGACTACGCTGCCAACTTAATAGCAACCGGCATTGCATTGTTAACATGCTAGCATCTAGAAAAAACTCAAGAACCACGGATATACCCAATTGACTTCGCTTGAAGCCGACCTCCGACGCATGGTATCCAATGCGAAATTCTACAATGAGAAGAGCTCTCTGCTCTTCTCTAACGCAGAGCGGATTCGCAAGATAGTGGTTGCGGAGATGCCCAAGGTTAACCCTGCGTATAAAGACCCAAACTACGCTCCGTTTTCAACCCCACTGCCCAACAATGAGGTAGAAGAAGAAGACTTTATCGATGAGCTTCCGGAAGGAGAGGAAGAATCTGAGAATGAAGCAGAAGCGGAAGCAGAAGCAGAAGTGGAAGCTGAGCCAGAGCCAACACCTCGAGAGGAGCGAACAAGGTCCTCAAGACGCGCGAGCGGACGTATATCGACAATTGATCGCGACCAAAACCAGACAGATGCCCAAAAAGAGGACCCTGATGCTGCTGTTGCAAGTAAATTCCAGGCCGCCCTGGAAGGAATACTGAATGAAGCTATCCGCATGCTGGACGAGGAGTAAGTTAGCCACTCTCTAGCCAAATTTCCGAGTGCCAGTAAGCTAGCTAACAACCACTATAGCGGGGAAGAAAAGTTTGCACCTTTCATTAATCTCCCTGATAAAACCCTATATAAGGAATACTACGATGTAATAGATCACCCTGTCTCACTGAGAGGTATTCTACGAACAGTTCGTGGCACAGACAGAAGAAAGCCTACGACCTCAAAACCCAAAGCTCCCAACCCGTTCAGGTCATGGAAAGCGTTCATCGATGAGGTTAACTATCTGTGGACTAATGCACGGATATTTAATGAAGACGAGAGTGACATTGCCATTCTTGCGGGCGAGCTTGAGAAATTCATAAATACCCGGATAGCAGAAACGAGAAAGACGGTTCCTGCACCCGAGGAAGAAAGCAGTGGTACCGGAGGTGGAACGAAGATACGGCTAAAACTAGGAGCAGCCACATCCACGCCAGAACCTCCTGCTGCTCCGACGACATCGAAACTTAAGCTACGGCTGCCTGCCAGACAACAGCAGACGGATACTGCTCCGGCTACTTCGAAAGTGCCTGGCGTGAGAGTTGACACTGAAGCGCTCAAACGACAACAAGAACTCGTTAGGGCCGGGACAAACGGGGTTGAGGTGCCTAAACCGAGCACTAATAATGTACAAGCGACGCCAACACGGACCCTGCGAGACAGAACGACCTCCGCAAGGGCTCCTGTGGCTGCAGCTTCACCAACTCCTACCGCAGCTACTGTCAACGGTACGGGAGCTGCCCCTGCTACCACTGGGCCTTCACTTCGGTCTCGAACACCGCTCACGAGGCGAGCAGAGGCAGAGTTGGAGCGCGAAACAGCCCCCAAGCCAGAGACATCAGCAAAGCCTTCGCCCAGCCTACAGGCAGCCCATGCTGTTACTCCAACACCAGCTCCTGCTGCCCCCGAGCCACCAGCGAAAAGTACAAGCACAGGCGCGACGCCGCTCTCGACGGCTGATTGGGAGAAGCTATCTCAGGCACGAAACAAAGGTATGTCACCCCTCCATCTGCCATTATTATACACGTGTTGAACTGCTAATAACACTGTCATAGCATACGGCAACGGTCTCATATCACAGATATCCATATCGTCTCACTCATCACTCCCTCTCCGCCAACCCTTCCACATTTCCCTGCCTTGCTCACCCGTCCTTCCCTCTCAACCCATAAGCCTAACCCTACCCTCATGCATCAATCTCATAAGTTTCAACCCCATCATTGCGTCGACTTCCCATCGGCGTCCTACGCAGCACTACTTTACCGTCTGTGACCAGAAGAATCCCACTCCACCGACTACCTCGGTTGTGCCGTTTACAGACTATACCCGGTTTGCATACGATGTGCGGCTGCGCGAGGGCGTCAACAAGCTTGTCGTTGGCGTGTCTGCCAAAGCGGACGGCGAGACGACGGAGCGAGTCATCGTTTTCGTCAATCTCTTACGGTCTTAGTCTTCTCCTTCGGTCCTTTTATTTCATTTCTCTTTTTTCCTTGCGGCAGGCACATGGCTCGGTCTTTGGCTAGGTGTTCATGGTGTTGTGGATGGCATCCCCGGCGGCTAATCCTGCCTGTAAATTACTTTACCTGCATTCATTCTCCAGCATCTTCTTCCTTCGTTCTCTCTTTTCCATCATCATCATGTCCCTTTTGTCCCTTTTGTCCCTTTTTATATCACGTGATACTAACTCGCCTAGTGTAAATTACAGTAATTTTCATACACAGAAACGTCTTTTTTCGTTTTTTATTTATTTTTTTCTTCTTTTTCCTCTTTTTTTTTCTCCATATAAAAAAAAAAAAATTTCACCGCCGACTCTTTTTTCTACTCCAAACGCCCACCACGAAAAGACTACAACGTCCGACTTTTCTTCTAAGTCGTTGAGCAGCGAGAAAGGAAAAGACCACTGAAGGAATCGAAAGAACTAGACGAAGGAGATTTCGCTTTTCTTTTTCGTGGCCCAGCATGTCTACTGAAACTTACGACGGTGCTATCGGCATCGATCTTGGTAAGTGGGATGTCCTGAGCACCGCAAGCGAGGCGAGCAAGCAGTGCAGCAGACCACCACGCCCGAGCCCGCAGACGGACAGGAGACGAGCAGACGAGTGATTCTCTGCGGACGGGCTGCTCTGCGTAGTTTGTTCGGGGATAATTGGCTAATTTTGAAAATTTCAATAGGCACAACCTACTCTTGCGTTGCCAACTATGAGGGCGCCAATGTTGAGATCAGTATGTGGGACAGCTTCGCTTTGCGCAGAGGATGATTGTTAACGTGTGAAATAGTCGCCAACGAGCAGGGTAGCTTTACTACTCCCTCCTTCGTCTCCTTCACCGATGAGGAGCGTTTGATCGGTGAGGCCGCTAAGAACCAGGCCGCCATGAACCCTGAGAACACCATCTTCGATATCAAGTGAGTGGCATGCAGCAAGTCCCCAGAGTCAAAACGGGAGAGATCTCAATTGCAAGGCCGGAGACAGGATCTTCTCTGGCAAAGTGCTCTCTTTGTGTTTTGAGAGTGGGTGATGTTGAGGGGTGGGGATGCTAACTTCTGTGGCAATTAGGCGTCTTATCGGACGACGATTCGAGGATCCCGTTGTCAAGAAGGATGTCGAGTCCTGGCCATTCAAGGTCATTGACCAGGGCGGCAACCCAGTCGTCCAGGTCCAGTACCTTAACGAGACCAAGGTCTTCTCTCCCCAGGAGATCTCCTCCATGGTCCTCATGAAGGTATGTATCTATCTCTCTGCAATTGAAAGGGGGGGCGTCCATTCTACGCAGTATAACTAATTGATATCTATAGATGAAAGAGGTTGCCGAGACTAAGCTCGGAAAGAGCGTCTCCAAGGCTGTCATCACTGTCCCAGCCTACTTCAACGACAACCAGAGACAGGCCACCAAGGATGCTGGTGCCATTGCCGGTCTCAACGTTCTCCGTATCATCAACGAGCCCACTGCTGCCGCCATTGCCTACGGTCTCGGCTCTGGAAAGTCCGAGAAGGAGCGCAATGTCCTCATCTACGATCTCGGTGGTGGTACTTTCGATGTCTCCCTCCTCAACATCCAGGGTGGTGTCTTCACCGTCAAGGCCACCGCCGGTGACACCCATCTTGGTGGTCAGGACTTCGACACCAACCTCCTCGACCACTTCAAGAAGGAGTTCACCCGCAAGACCAAGAAGGATCTCTCTGGTGACTCCAGGGCCCTCCGAAGGCTCCGCACTGCTTGCGAGCGTGCTAAGCGTACTCTTTCCAGCGCTACTCAGACTACTGTCGAGATTGACTCTCTCTTCGACGGCGAGGACTTCAATGCCCAGATCACCCGTGCTCGTTTCGAGGACTTGAACGCCAAGATCTTCGCTGCCACCCTCGAGCCCGTCCAGCAGGTCCTTAAGGACGCTGGCATTGACAAGAGCAAGGTCGACGAGATCGTCCTTGTTGGTGGTTCCACCCGTATTCCCCGTGTCCAGAAGCTCTTGAGCGATGCTTTCGATGGCAAGAAGCTCGAGAAGGTAAGCCTATACTCCTTTTTCTCTACTACTCCAGTTCACTATTAACAAATATTTTAGGGTATCAACCCCGACGAGGCCGTTGCCTACGGTGCCGCCGTCCAGGCCGGTATCCTCTCTGGAAAGGCCACCTCTGCTGACACCAGCGACCTCCTCCTTTTGGACGTCGTCCCTCTCTCTCTCGGTGTTGCCATGGAGGGTAACATCTTCGCTCCCGTCGTCCCCCGTGGCCAGACTGTCCCAACCATCAAGAAGCGTACCTTCACCACTGTTGTCGACAACCAGCAGACCGTCCAGTTCCCCGTCTACCAGGGTGAGCGTACTAACTGCGAGGACAACACCTCCCTTGGAGAGTTCACTCTCTCTCCCATCCCACCAATGAAGGCTGGTGATGCCGCCCTTGAAGTCGTCTTCGAGGTCGACGTCAACGGTATCTTGAAGGTCACTGCCACCGAGAAGTCTTCCGGCCGCAGCTCCAACATCACCATCTCCAACGCTGTTGGCAAGCTCTCCAGCGCCGAGATCGAGGCTATGATCAGCGGTACGTTATGCTTATGCCCCTTCAACCCTGTGGTATCGGCTGTCGCAATTTACTAATAAATGTATGTGTAGATGCCGCCAAGTTCAAGTCCAGCGATGAGGCCTTCAGCCAGCGCTTCGAGGCCCGCCAGCAGCTCGAGTCCTACATCTCCCGTGTTGAGGAGATCATCACTGACCCAAGCATGTCCCTCAAGATCAAGCGTGGCAACAAGGACAAGATCGAGTCTGCTCTCAGCGACGCCATGGCCCAGCTCGAGGTCGAGGACTCCTCCCCCGAGGATCTCAAGAAGAAGGAGCTTGCTTTGAAGAGACTCATCACAAAGGCCATGTCCACCCGATAAATGCCTGACACTACCAACCAATCCCTCAAAACCAACTAAAAAGACGAAGATTTGATTTGCTCTGCAAGACATAGCCTAATGACGTGTGTTTTGTTTATCATTTCAACGACGGCGAAAGCCGCGGTGTGCGCATGATGGGATGAAAGAAAAGAAGAAAGGAAAAAAGACGGAATTTGAACATGACCTTGAAAATGAACCGTGTTGTGTTTCTTCGCTACCTTTCTTCTTCCTCTTTTTCAGAATTGTCTTTTGAATTTTGTGGGCTAAATAAAAACGGGATGATCTTTACTCTGTTCCTCTTTTTCCTTGTTACGCCTTTTTTTCCTTTTTATCTTATTCCCTATGTGTTTATGTCTGTTATGTCCGTCCGGATGCTACACTTTCTGAGGCTTCGATAGGTAGTACAATGGATATATGCTACAAAAAGTCCCCAATTCTAGTGACAGCTCTGTAATCATTATTTGTCTGACAACGTAATAATCTATGTAGATTCTCGTGTTCAAATTTCCAGGTAGTCACAGTGGCTTTAAAAGAAAGATTGGCGGAGTCGGATCTCCAAGCCAAAACCTTGCAACTTCCAGCTGCGATATCAAATTGTTCAAAACATCATCAATTTACAACAGGAAGACCGACACAGCACAGCAACTCATATCTCACCATGTCGAGTACAGCCCAATTAGCACAATGCACTGCTTTACGCAGCGTGCTACGAAATAAACGACTCCCTGCCGTCTCTCCTCGCCGCTGTATATACACTCACACGACCAACAACCGCATACACAACATAAGCAGATACACCCTCCAGTCAACCATATCTTACCCGTCCAGCCGAAACTTCTCCCAGAGTTCCGCTCTACTAAAGAAGAAAGGCTCGAAAGAAAGCCCAAAGGAAAACGACAAGGCTGCTGCCGCCGGTGGTGCTGGCGCAGAAGACCCATTTGATTTCTCTTCCCTCAATGACAGCATCAAAGATGCCGTTACACGGCTAAAGGAGGATCTTGCCAAACTACGCGGCGGTGGGAGAGTTACACCTGAAGCCATTGAGAACCTACGAGTGTCATTGCACAAGCCGGGCGGCGCTGATGTTGGGAAGGGGAAAAAGGGCGCCAGCTCGAGCAGCAAGGAGACCGTCAAATTGGGGGAGGTTGCGTCTGTTATTCCTAAAGGAGGCAGGTCGGTGTCGATACTGGTTGGAGAGGAACATGTGTGTATACCCTTTGGACTTCGTTTTAATGATATACACTGCTAATATCAGGCTCTAGGACGTCAAACCCGTCATGTCTGCGATTACCTCGTCCGATCTATCACTGAATCCTCAACCAGACCCTCACAACCCGCTTCAATTGAACGTCCCGATTCCTCCCCCAACAAAGGAGTCTCGAGAGCAGACGGTTAAAGATGCTAAAGTAGCTATGGAAAAGGCATCTAACATTGTCCGTAATGGGCGTGCGGCACTGAATAAGAAACTGAAGGGCAAGGAGCTTAAGAAGCTTCGACCAGATGATGTGCGCAAGGCCATAGATCAGATGGAGAAGATTGCCGAGAAAGGTCAGAAGGAAGTAAAGGATGTTTTTGAGGCAGCCAAAAAGGCATTGGAGGCATAATTGGAAGGCTATGGTATTCAAGGTCATGTTGGGGATTGATATCATTTTCGGAGGCACATTACTTTCCAGCAGTATTGTACATTAGAATTGCAAGCTATTTGTGGAAAAAGCCAATCAGTAAACTCATACTATGAAATAAGTTATTGGTACATGAAATATCTCTATATAAAAATATTATACACCGGGACGCGCCTGCTAAGCAGACTTAGCCTTAGCCTTTGCTTTCTTGAGAGGGAGATTCTGCATAAGACTGCCCATGAACTGTTGAGTGTGCTCGGTGTGGTAGGTGTGGTTGTTCGACAGGTTTCTTAGGACGTTCTTGAGAATTGGAGAGGCATCGGCATCGAGCTTGAAGGGTTGGTCGTATGCTCCCCGGATCAAGGAGGAAATCATATGCGATTTCTCCTCTTTGCTCACATTCTCGAACTGCACGTCAGCAGGCTCGACAGTTTGTCCCTTCCTCTGGCTAAGCTCAGTGGCATGTTCGCTAGCTAGTTGCTTAACAAACTTCATGGTCTCGGCCTTCTGTGCCTCGCTGGAGAAAAGCACTCGTTTGCCCTGGTAGACTCTCTTTGCCAGGTCTTCGGGCAGCTCTTCACATCCCACGTACGATTCACCGAACCACGATAGTTTCTCACGGATGGTGCTGGTATTTGAAGCTGCGTCTATTGCCAGAGCCGGCCATGTTTCCTTTAGGGTTTCGGTGGTATATGGCTGAGGGTTATAGCGGACAGCCGGTTTGTGTTTCCCCCTCTCTTGGAAATCTTGTTCGTACTCCACGATCTCATGCATATCTTCTTGACCCTGCGCCTGCGCTTCCTCTTCGAGCCTCCGAGCTTCCTCCAACTGTTGAGGATCGACTAGCTTCCGTTTTTTGGAAGTTCGCGCCATGCGTGGCATTCGTGCGCCACCTGCACTGCCCCCTCCCCTACCGCGTCCCATACCACCTCGTTGTCTAAGTCTTTCCTTTAGTTTGTCTGCGTTCATTGAAAGCATGGGACCACCGGGTTTGTTGCCATTGCCGCCTGGGGAGCTATTTAGTCGCATTGGGCGGGAATTGAAGCTTTCATTGTCGGCTGTGAAGCGGATTTTCGATCCTGAGGCGGTATTTTGGGGAGCCGATGTCCGATCAAAGACGTCTTGGACTCGTCGCACTGCCGCTCCTCGACGGCTGGAGAAGTCACCCGAAGGCTTTCTTGGAGCTTTACATAAGGACTATGAGCATACAGCAAATGTGCCATCACGGAGACACGATTCTAACTTACAAGATGGCCGTTTATCCTCTTCAGCACGAAGGCATGTCGATGTGAATTCTCGGGTCGTAACGAGCGAATTTCTGGTCAATTGCAACGCTCCCGTCGCAGGGCGTCGAAACATCTGGGCCGCCATGTCAGGCACTCACTGCAGGTCCTGCTGACGACTGATATCTTCGAGTCGACCGCAGCGTCGCTTCTTTTCCTCTGCTTTTCTTCGACCTTTGAAGTTCGCAAAGAAAGTTTCGACCAAAAATGATAGTCACGTGAAATGGTATTTTATATTGTATGTAACTTACATAAAATACTATGATACCATTAGTCATCTTTACAAACAATGCAAACAATGCAAATAATGCAAACATAACGGTTTGCCCGATAAGGAAGGCTTTTTTGTCTCTCTATCTCTTCTTCTTTCTATCAAAACTGAATGAATCAACTTCGAATGTTTTTCTATCAAACGAAAATATCTTCATACCGTTGAATCGATAAAACATCCACCGGTTGACTGTTGCATCGCATAACTCCTAGAGAAACAGGCGATCAGGACTTCCAGCATCATCGCAAGACGTTACGCTACCAAACGTTCCCCGCATCGAGCTGAGATCCTACAGCTCGTGAGACTTCCAGAAGACAGACAGACATTGCATGCTTGCGGTATATTACGATATCAACTACTCCAACGCAGCAAGGATGCTCCGCCGCAAGCCAACTGCTATTACAGTCACATCCGAGGACATAATTGCCTTCGAGGAAGCGCAGCTCCGCCGTCAGCAGGAGCTCAAAAACAAGAGCTCAAACAAGGCAAGTTCATCAGGCAACAAGGCTGAGAACGACGGGGCTCGAGATCGCGACGGAGACTCGATGTCCAGCTCGAATCGGGCAGGGGTTGATCCAAATGACGAGTTGAAACCATTGCCTGGTGACAAGGCGCGGATAGTCCGAACTCGAGACGAGAGGATTGGCGTGGGACGGTAGAGGGTCGATGGATGATGACATGCATTATTATATTATCCGTTTGTCGGAGTTCTAGAAGCCGGGCGGAAGTTTCGACGATGGATAGTCTGTTTTAAAAAGGGCGCATGACCGCTGCCACGCCCATCGGAACAAAGAGCATATCGATAGACAGCAAACGATGTTATGATACCAACTGACTTGGTGCTATTTTTGATCATAAGCGGCACGGAAGGCGGGATGATCAGGATGCCAGAGACCGGATATTGCATAATTTGAAAGCCCACGAAGGAGCGGAATTATCCTTATTGGTTATATATTAGGGGCATGTCCCTACCATTCGCTCTTGGGGAGGGGATTTTGGCTGGAATGGTGACGCGGAATGGATGCATATATGGAGCTCGAGAATGCTGGGTTATCGTGGTACTCTGCATACCCCCATACAAATAGCAACATGTGTGTGGGCAGGGTTTAGCATTTTTCTACCTGCTCCTTGTCGACATGCACGTATCCTTGCGATGTGTTTTGCTAGCGGGGCGCATCATGCAATCAGGAAGCGTGGCAGAAGTTTCGGGATATGCACATCACTACGGAGTGCTTGGGCAGACATACTGTCATGTCATCTCGACATACAAGTGTGTATGGAGGTGTCGCGGCCAGAAGTTCGTCCGTCCGGTCCGCCGTCTGCAGGTGTGGCATATAGTGAGCTGAATATAGGGGTATATTTGCCACACCCTGTCTATAGTTGTAGTTTTGATGATTCAATTTTTACAATTACACCTTTCCAGGCTGCACAGCCGACATGGCTGTTTTCCAATTCGCGTAACCAACTTCATCCAACCCGTTGACGGGCAAAGCCATATATGTAAGCATATATTATCCCACTTACTCCGTATCGATATAAAAAAGAACATCCCAGCGGTAATTTCTTTTAAGAACATAACGAATAAGAAACCGGTAAATACCCCTGTTTTCTATTTGCCGTGGCCATCTCATCTCAATCAGTTGCGTTCCCAGGTCGAAAGGGTATCAATAATTTGGAATCAAGTAAACCACACAACATGACATGCAGGCAGGGAATGAACCAGCCAAGGAAAAATGATGCACATTGCCCCAAGCCCAAGAACCCCTTTTCAACCCAGAGAAGAATATGGAAATAGAAACGTAGAGTAGGATTTTCGCGCGATGGTTTCAACGGTATCCGTCCGTGGGGAAAACGAGAGTATTCTGGCTAGCAGAGAGCAGAGAAAAAGAAAGCAAAGCAAAGACCCATATCCCCAAGGCATAAATCGTAGCATAGATGCAAGGAGCAAAGGAAAGGGGGTGGAATTAAGTATTATGTAGTAAGGAACGTCGAAATAACCAAACGAGCGAGTGAGATGTGAATGCGAATGCAGAGGGTAGAGTAAAAAAGTATGAAGGAGATGCCATAAGAAGTAACAATAACGATGGGAAGCATACAAACCATCCAAAAAGATATCCAGCATACCCCAAAAAAGATTCGTGAAGTGGTAAATAGCATAAGATCATATCCCAGGAGACAAGACGCCAGCAGCCAGAAAACCAGAACCCGAACCCAGTGGGACCACACAAGCGAAAGGGGGAAAAAAAAAAAAGAAAAAGAAAAAGAAAAAGAAAGAAACCAAGAAAGAAATTGACAGGTATTTGTAACCATGGCAGTTGTAATCATCTTCTCCGTTTAGCCTGTTCGTCACCGTAGCTGTCGACATCGTCCCATCTTCTCTTCGCGCCCTCGGGATCAATAACGCTGGCCACACTACGTTGCCAGTCCCTGGCCCCCATGACAACGGGCAGCAAGTTGTACTGCTGTGCAGGCATGGAGACCTGCGTAGGCTGGTTAGGATCGACCAGTGGCATGAGGGGCTGGGAGTAATCTGAGTACTGGGCTGCGCCGGAGCCTGGGCTGCCATTGGCACTTGCCATGGTAGAGGAAGATGGGTAGAGAGAATGGGGGTCAGGAACCACTGTGCTGTTAGTTGATGATGTTGCGGAGGGAGGTGAGTTAGAGTTTATGTTCCCTGAAAAGGCGAGGTCCCATTGTCTATATCGGAGAGTAGTTAGCTAGTGTGACACATTATAGCAATTGCAGTAGTTAATACGCACGTTATGATTCTCGAGGGATTCCAGCTGTTCTCATCGACAAGCGGCATTGATGTGATTGGAGGTGGAGCGCGGGTAGTGTCGTAGGGCTGCAGCAGGCCATATGTACCCGTTGCAGGTGACTCGGGCTTCACGCTCGTCTGCGTAGAAACAGGTGGACTGATGGGGTATGAGTCGGAGAAGGGGAGATTCCCTGTGCCCTGAGCAGGTTCTTGGGCTTCACTGTATGATGGCGACGAATGGTACATCGCATCACTGACGGGCAGAGACTGAGACGGGGGCCCGACTGGACTGCCATAGGGGAAAGTTGGCTTCAGCTCGAACGGCTTGTTGATGTCTGCGGAGAAAGCAAGACGTAGGGCAGCAAGTTGTGACTGCAACTCCGTCATGGGCCAGGAAGAGCTGCATGATTCCAGAACTCTCATGTGCCGAGTAAAATAAGACCTGGAATCTTTGTTGAATTCCGGATCTGGCGAAGTGATGGCTACAAGATGCAGCATGACACTGGTTAGAATGCAGTAAATGGAGAAGTTGATGCCTCGTTGCATGCACAGGAAACCTGATACGCCAAACGAGGAGAGTAGGGCTTCCTGCAGCCGACAGATCGCCTTAGCCGAGCTGTAGCATATCGAGAAGTGGTGTCTCCATTCTCCGCCTGCTGGAAACGAGCTGGCGGCGACGAATTGGGGGCGATGGAGCATGATCTTGGCCAATTCAAAGTGCGAATGCATGTTTGCGAGAAAATGCGAAGGAATCCATGGAGGCGAACCATCTGGTAGGTAGGTGACCATGAGATCTGGTGGCAGGCTGTTGTACCAAGCCTCGAAAAGAGGGTTGTTACGGGCAAACTGCGGATTGGCGCCCCAGTCCTTGGTCTTTTTCACCTTGTGAAAGACGTCCACTATGCGGCGAATATTGAGAGCATTATGGACGAAGTAGCTGAATTGTCTTGATCGTTCGACTTCGTATGCATCGAGGTTGGGGATATCCCAGGACGGACGGATCTCTACCGTGTCAGTCTCCACGCCAAACTCCGAGCGTCCTGTCACCGGTTAGTAAGGATTTGCATGAGAAGCATGGTATGCATGGGATGTATGTATGTATTTTCAGTATCTTAGACATACCTTGAGGCCCTCCGACCATTATCTCGACAACGAGAATGGTCTGCCAGACGCGGGTGCGAATGAGACACTCCACAGTGTCATAGCCACACAGCTTGCCCTCTGCGTGGTATTGGTAATGCTGATGCAGCTCGAGATCCTTGGCCATTGAAATGATCGTCTTGATCGTCTGCCATGAGCGGTAGTAGTAGCCTGGGCGTGGCATGGCTTCTCGGGCCTTCATGATAAGCAACAGAGCCTGTACGGTGGTGAGCCGGGGCGCTTCCATGAATTCCGGTTCGAATTCTACCACCCGGTTAGCAAAAGTAACACGCACAAGGTAAATGCGAGGGGAGGAAAAAAATAAGGGAGAGAAAGTAAAAAGAGAAGAGAAAGTACGTACTGTTAGCAAGGGCAAGCCACTTGGTAGCCTTTGCGGTATCGTTGAGAGCCCTGGCAGAACAGGCGAAAAGGGCACTGAGCAGGAGAGGGGAGATATCCCACTTCTCCCGCCGCCATTGCTCGTAGAAGTAGTTCCTAGGGATTACAGGGAGGTAAGGATGTAGATCATCAAAGTAGACTCTGAAGTACTCGAGCGCCTCAGTGTCGGAGGGCATGAGCTCTGCCGGGAACTGCAGGGACGAATTTGCGCCATTGTACAGCGGTGGCAGAGACTGTTCGCACTCGGCCAGAGCAGTCTGTGGTTTTATATGGTCCTTTGACTCTTGATTTATATACGGTGCTAAGAGAGATGTTTGTGTTAGTATGCATCTGAAACAGAGGGGGCGTTTTGAGAGCCGAGAGTGTCTTACCAATGCCAGTTTCGTCAATCTTGAGCTCGTTGAAAGCCGTTGTAAGGTCGCCCGAGTTTGTTGGGGTTTGTGGAGGCGGCTCAGAAACCTGGATAATAGGCTGCGGCGTTGATACCGGGAACGGTGGTGGCGGGTTTCTATGTATCTGAGTAGGAGCCGGTGGTGGTGGTGGTGGTGGTGCCTGCGGATGTTGGGGGTAGTGAAAGGCTTGCTGTAGCTGTCCGTGGGATGCGTCTACGGGCGAATGGTGGTAGAACCGCCCGTCATCCGTAGGTGAAGTGAGATACTGGTGAGGCTGCTGCTGCTGATGCTGCTGGGCCTGGTACAGCTGAGAATCGCTCTCGTAGCCGCGGAGGTCTCCGGTCCGTCGTGCTGGCTCTGCCGGGTAATACTCCCGCGCATGGAAGGACGGCTGCGAGGAGGTGTGTATCTGCGAAGACGAGGCCGGGAGAGCAGCAGGCGGCGGCGGCGGTGGAAGAGCACCTGAACCTGCCGGAGGAGCGGGTTGGGAGAAGTCGAGGATCTGCTCGTGGGCGGCCGGCTCGCTGTCCTGGTCGATGGAGGGTGGGATGCAGACGAGCTTGAGTCTGGTGCAGGCCGAGCAGGGCCAGATGTTGGTGGTAGCCGAGTCGCACTTGATCTTGCGCTTGCGACAGCCATTGCAGGCTCTCATCACTGCAAAGTGTCAGTCTCTCTATCCTGCATCTTCTTGTGTGTCTCCGTAGGCGTAGGTAGTAGTAGTAGGGGGGGGGTTCCCTACCTTTGAGTCGCTTGTGTCGGTTGTGCTCGTCAACGAAGACATAATCTACCACCAGTCAGCGTCTTTTCTCCAGTAGATCATCATCTCAGCGAGGATATCAGGCATAGCTCACTCTTGCGGCCCTCATGGCGCTCCCCGCCCTGGCCGGCGGGCAAGATGGTGCTCTGCATGGCGTCTCAGCAGCGGGCGGCGACGGCGACGGCGACGGGCAAGACAGCGCAATCAATCGCAGTCCGGCGGGCAGAGCAGACGGCAGCACGACGGCGAGCAGCGAGAACGGGTTTCTCTGTCTCTGTCTGTGTGCGTTGGCGTCGCCGGCGGAGGGCTGGTTTTGGCTGGCAGTTGTCGATGTCGTCTTTGTCGTTGTCGTCGTTGTAGTTTGTAGTTGTTGTAGTTAAGTCGAGAGTAGTCGGACAAGGCGAAAGCAAAAAAAAAGAGCCGCCGAGGAAGCGAGACGACGGCCTCAACAGCACAACGACAGCGACAGCGACGGGTGACAGTGACAGGATCTAGACAGGGCGTGAGGCACGACTTGGGGCTTTCTCGTTCGTGACCAAGAGAGATTCCAGAGGAGAACGACTAACTAGCTGAGGAAGAAGAAACGAGAGGAAGGGCTGGCTGGTCTGCTCACTAACTCACTAGCAGGAGGCGACTGTGGGCCGGCGTTGGAGCAGGATAACTCTCGAGCAGAGCAGAGAGACAGAGCAGAGAAGCAGAGAGAGACAGCGAGGTCAGTCGAGAGGAGATCGATCTATTGATATCTTCCCGTCTTGCTGCTAATAATAAGTATACGCAAATCTGGAGTACGCACAGCAAGAGGTGCATCATCGACGCCGCCAGCAGCCAAACGACGAGCAGGACCAGCAGGCCGGGAAACCTTCTGCCGTTCCAGAAGCCAGGCGAAACATAAAAAAGGAAGAGAGAGAGAGAGGCAGAGAGACAGGAGAGAGGGCTAGAGAAAAAGAAAAGAAGCGCCGGCCATCTGCGGGACGAAGGCTGGAGGGAGAGTTAGTCCAGTCCTGCTCTGAATTGCAGGGATAGCCAGCGGTCGAGATTGATATCAGGGAACAAGCGACAACTATCAAGCAAGAGACGAGACAAGACGAGACAAGACGAGACGAGACGAGATGCAGAACTCGAATCCGACGCTGTTGAGCGCGGCTGACCTGCCCAGCCGGCAGAAGAAGGGCGCAGAGTCCCAGGCCAGGGTGGACAGCATCTTCACGACCGAGTCTACCTTTGATCCCTTTGCCAGATACCAGGACGAGGATGGCGAGAGCAGTCAGGACGGCAGCAGCCAGGACGAGCTCGAGGAGCCCATCGACGAGCAGGAGATATTCGGTATGTCTCTATATCTACATCTAGTTATATCTATCTCTACGTCTAGTTCTATGTTCAGGCTAAAGGTATATGGATATTGACACGGTACAGACCTGATTGCAACGATATCAGACCCCGAGCACCCGATCCCGCTGGCAGAGCTGGCCGTCGTCTCGCTGCAGGACATCAGCATCACGCCGGCACTGCCTCGCTCGCCGTCGTCTCCCCTCCGCAAGGTCACCGTCCTGCTCACCCCCACCATCACCCACTGCAGCCTGGCCACCGTTATCGGGCTTGGAGTGCGCGTCAGACTGGAGCAGGCCTTGCCCCCGCGGTTCAGAGTCGACGTCCGGCTCAAGGAGGGCTCGCATAGCACGGCAGACGAGGTCAACAAGCAGCTCGCAGACAAGGAGCGGGTGGCGGCTGCACTGGAGAACCAGACGCTCATGGGCGTCGTGGGGAAGATGCTGGAGACCTGCCGATGACTCCTCCCTGCCAGTGACCTGACCTTAGTTTCTAATATGGGTATGAAGAGGCTGGTAATAGCGGATTATGTGATGGTATACTCGGTATACTCGGTACTATGGGGTGGAGTGGTATTATATTACGACAACTACTGCGGACATGGGTCTGAGGTAGCATATGAAGCAGATGAAGCATAGGAAAGCAAGCAGCAGGATGGAAGGAGGACCAGCGTAACTGCATGTAAGTGTATGATACTTGTGTCTATCTTTATGGCATCTGCCAGTGTCTTCCCCTTCTCAGCACGCCGAGCAGCTAACCAACGATGGCCCGTCTTTGTTATTTTTATCTCTTTATTGCTTTCTTTTCTTCTTCTACTATTATTACTATATTCCTTCCCGTCTTCCCTGTCCGCCACTGACCAGTCTACTAGTATCCAGGAATGGACATCAGTCGACTCGATTTTCTCTTCGGTTGCCTGGTTCGTTTTCCCACAGTGACGGTTCGGGTTGTTTTTCTTCCCCTTTACTTCTTCTGCGTCTGCCCCTGCAGGACCAGAGCAAGATCGTCGCAGGCATGGTGGGCTTGTCTGGCTCTCCCACTGTCTGCCCGTCTGCCTGTCTGCCTGTCTGCCTGTTGGGCCGTCGGGCTGCTGGGCTGTTTTTGTTTGTGTGTGTGCGTGGGATATATATGACGGAGGGTAGAATTTCGATGGCCTCCGCTCGAGTGATAGCTCCAGTGTGCCGGCCATCCGCCGTCCCTCGCAGTCGATACATCTTATATATCGAGGGACTCCAGTCTCCCGTCTCCAGTCTATATGGGGTTCCTCCTCGGTGGCGTCTTACCGTGGTAGGCAGTTCGACTGATGCCCGGACTCAGCATCACGGCCGCAGGACTCCAGGTGTATCTACCTGCCGCCCGCCGCCCGCTGCTTCGTATAGCCGTGTATCTAAAGTGTGTGAATATATATCACCGTCTCGTCTGCCTTCACGGCCGTCTCTCGTAATGCAGGGTTCATTCATTCATTTAGTCAGCCATATATATAACTAGTTACGCCCTTGATATCTACTCGAAACATGGAGATCGAGAGCGAAAAACTCGACTCTGCCTCGTCTCTCCTCTAAGCCTCGTCCTGCCCTCTGCTGAAGAAGAAGAAGAAGAAGAAGAAGAACAATAATAAAGAAGATGCCTGCGTCCGTTGCAATCGTGACTGGCGGCGCCGGCGACATCGGCCAGGCCATCGCCCGCAGGCTTAGCGACTCCCACGACCGGGTGGTGATCCTCGACCACGACGGCAGCAGACTCGACGCAGCCCTCGCAGCCCTCGCCAGCGACAAGTTCGAGCGCTGTCTCTGCGACATCACCGACAGCTCGCAGGTAGCCGGCCTGCCTCGCCGCATCTTCGGCCCAGAGGAGGACGCAGGCCCGGACGGCGGCGCTGCTGCGGTGCTGCGGACGCTGGTCAACAACGCCGGCGGCTCAGCAGCCTACAGCCTCCACGAGACCTCGCCGCAGGCCTGGCAGCGCGAGACGGCCCTCAACCTCGACGCAGCGTTCCTCTGCTTCAACGCCTTCGAGGCTCACCTCAAACGCTCGCGCGGCTCCGTCGTCAACATCGCCTCCGTCAACGGGCTGGCCGTCTACGGGAACCCGGCCTACAGTGCCGCAAAGGCCGGCCTCGTCCACCTCACAAGGTCCATCGCCGTGGAGTACGGCCGCTTCGGCATTCGAGCCAACGCAGTCGCCCCTGGCACCGTCCGGACCGCCGCCTGGACCGCCAGACAGCAGGCCAACCCGCAGGTCTTCCGTGATGTCGCGCAGTGGTACCCGCTCAACCGCATCGTCGACCCGGAGGACGTGGCTCATGCTGTGGCTTTCCTCGCCAGCGAGCACGCCGCGGCCATCACGGGGGTCTGTCTGCCCGTCGACTGCGGTCTTACCGCCGGCCAGACGGCCGTTGCTCGGACTATAACCCAGTCGGAACACTACTAGGAACTCTACTTTGACGTTTTTTTTTCTGGGGATATCAGAAAGCTTGTGCTGAGCCTCTAGAACTTATAACCAACCAACTATCATTCTCTGGGGCCGAACGGAGAATCCGAAAGGCAGCGGCTGAGGCAGAGAGACAGCAAAGGGCAGCAACGGAGAGAGAAGAGAGACTCAAAAAAGGGATACATGGAAACAGGATACCCCATATCTACTACGGAGTACACATATGGACGCCTCACTAAAGGAAAACGTGCGTCCGTTTGCTATATACCATGCGCACTACACACGCCTTCTTTACTACAAGGAAAGAAAAAACAAAAAAAAACAAACCCACAACCACTCAATAGATTAGCCCCCTTACCGTCCCACAGCCCTTGTTATGGCACTCGATGTTCCGGTCCTGCATCTGTGCCATCCGATATCAAAAGAAGAAGAAAGGGAAAAAAAATTCCACGTCCGGCCTCCCCCTTCCATCTCCCGCGCCCCCTAACCCTCTTCTCCCAACATCCTCCCCTCCCCTTCTCCCTCCCAACTTCAATCAAAAGGAAAAGAGAACTATCATATTGCTCGAGAAATGGCCACGGAGTCACGCAGATCCCCCGGCCGCTCTTGATCATTCATCCCTCGCCTTGCTTCCCGTCTCTGTTCTCTCTCTCTCTTTTTTTTTCCTTTTTGACATTTTGTCTTCGTTCTTAACTTGGGCCTCTCTGCCTTGCCAGCAGAAGTGGCCCATCCCCCCCACTTTGCCCTGGCCCGCAGGTACCTGAGCCGAGCTGCAGTTTGCTCGAATGATCTCCATGGAGTTCAAATCGACCCCAAATGGAGGATCATGATGAGGCCAAGCCGTCCAATTCTTGCCGTCCCTAGCCAGCACACACGCTGTCCCGTCTCTGGCCCGGACTGAAATCCCTCTTGCAATCTGTAACCTGCATCCTGCTCCCATACCCTGCCCTCCCCAGAGAAAACTCGAACGTCTAATCGCCCTTGCCATGTCCTTGTGCCTCGTGCTGCATCTTGCTGTTCCATGGCGCCCCCCCTCGTGTCCTGTCGTGTGCTGTGCCCTCCCATCCCGTCCCATCCCGTCTTGTTTTGTTGGTGCTTTCTTTGCAGATACACGTTTTACTCTATGCCTCTTATGCCTTTTATGTGCTGCTCTTCCCTGCCGATATTGCCCCTCATCTTATTGTATCGAACTTTAACCAGGCAGCGGACGGACGGACCGGGCACCGACGGGCACTCGCATAGGACACGGGCATAGGCAGGTATAGGTAGACGCTACCTTACCAGACCATTCCACATCCCTTACATTAATGTTGTGATTACCCAATTTAACATATCCTTGATCCTCAGACTTTTGCGCGCTCCGCTGGCGTCGCAGTTATTGGAATATGGCGTGACGAAGTTAAATAGATTTTAGATCACATAATATCAAGGGTTTGGTTTGGTTTGGTATATTACTTCCCCTCCTCTGTAGACCTAATATCTGTTTCTAAAGTGCAAGAGTAGTCCACGGCTTTTGCCGAAGGTTGGATTCGCTTCGTCGCCCGAACATTGGATAGACCAACGCTTAGTGAGATGCTGCTTGTTTGTTACTCTTCGAACGATTGTCTTCTTTGTCACACCCAGGCATTGGCTTGCCTGCTGTGCTACGTTGTCGGGATTTTATGGTGACTTGTCTCGGCTACATACAAGTAGTTAGGCTGCTGTTTATCCAGAGTCTGCTATTGACACCTTCTCCACCACTCTTCAGCTCGCCATCGTTAACATAACTATTTATGCAATGTCTCAGACAGCAAAGCAGTACAACCTTTGCCTCCCATCTAGATAGAGCCTCAATATTCTAGAAACGTCAACGCACGTCACCTAATTAGGATGCAATTCAACAAACCAGTTAACGGGCCCTCTGCTAGACCCAATTGTTTCCAATGCAACATTTCGGATCATGCATTCCTACAATTGCTACCCAAAAATATGCCAGCAAAGCATACCACTGGCTATTAACCGTTTATTCGCAGTAGGTTGTACGCCTATTCTTCCTCCGATTATCCCAACCATCAAACACCCGAGGTGTTGGGTTGGTCTGCAAATAGACAAGTATAAAAGGGGCTATCCCCATCAGCATTCTCATTGCTCTGCTCATAGTTATCTGGAGTTCCGACCTTGACACAACTACATATACCACTATACAGGCCCAATCCGTTGCCCATCGTTGAATGGTATGAGCAGTACACAATCATATATCAATTATATTATGACACTGAACTGAGATTCTGATCATAGACTTATCCTGCTCCCTTGTTGTTTGTGTAATTCGCACTATATAGTTACCCACTATGAAGATTTTTATGGTACTTGCCGTACTCTGCGCTACGACGTACGCTAGACCGGCAGTTGCTCCCGATAAGCCGAGATTTGGCTGCGTCCCTTGTCAAAACCAACAACAACGGTGCTGCGATACGGAACTTTACTGCTGGGTTCGCGCTTGTGATACCTCGCCTACTCATGGCTGGTAAGTATTCTGTCCTCACATTTGTTAGCTATTGCTAAGCATTTGTTATGAACGGCAGATGGAAATTCACTTCGAAATGAGGATACTATATTCAATCGATAACTTAGTTGTTATTCGAGCGAGTTATGAGGGGGAATAGGGAAAGGATACAAAATTTCTATTATAGCGATAATCATTCATTATACTATGGAATGTTATGTTCTTCATTAGCCAGTAGTCACTTCTTGAGATATCAAGTCGAGATATACTCTATTCTACTATTCTACTGACCCCTTACCCTGCAATTTGAGATTTGATATGGGAAATTAAGGTTGGTGCTCCAAGATGACATAATAACCTTAATAGCCATCGCGTTGCTTCTTTAAAATAGTTCTTGATTCTAATTGGCTCAAATTGCCTGGCCAAGCGCCCTGCCAAGCGCCAGCCGCGTGATTTGGCCATTCAAGGTTTAGCCTCTGGCCGCTAGCGCGGGAGATATAAGGCTTGGCATCACGCGTGCTTTCTTCATGGCTTTTCGCTTGTGCATTCAAATACGAGTTCTGGGGCGAAAGGAGGCACCCTTGCATGACCACGTTATTGTATAATTATATAAGGAGATGCTGGTCGCTCACATGCTTCCCTTTGTGCGTCAGGTCCGGACAAGTATATCGGCCTCCCAAGGATCAAAGGAATAATGCTCCTCCCAGCTCCTTTGTCGAAATACGTATCGTCTCTCAAGTCGCTGAGGCAGAAGTGGCAGAACCACGCTGCTTCTCGACCAGAGGATGATAAAAATTCACTTTTTGCCAGGTTAGTTACAGTGTTCTTGTCTACCTGGGACCTTGGTTTCACTTCCTTTGGAGGCCCGCCAGTGCATTTTCGTATCCTCCATCGGCGATTTGTCGAGGGTAAAGGAGTCAAGGAGAAATGGATCGACGAGCAAACTGTGAGCGACTATCCGAATTATTCATAAAATTCTCATTGTGCGTGGCTGATTGTCCTGTCTCCATAGTATCAGGAACTCTTTGCTATCTGCCAGGGTCTTCCAGGGCCAGCGAGCACAAAGCTGCTATTCTGCATTGCATTGCTTCATGCAGGATTTATCCCGGCACTCCTTGTGTTCTTTTTATGGTGGTAATGACTACTCCGTTTCCCCGGTATTCCGAATGTAATGGTTTTAGCTCATCGATTTTAGTCTTCCCGGGGCAATTGGCATGTATGCTTTCTCTCTGGGTGTTCAGCGAATTGGCGAGACTCTCCCTGAACCTGTTTATCCTTTGCTATCTGGACTAAACTCATCGACTGTGGGAATAATTGCCTTAGCAGCAGTACAGCTGGCAGAAAAGGCCATCAAGGATAAGTTGACCCGCATCCTGGTGACCCTTGGTGCTTGCGCCGGCCTATGTTACAATGCATTGTGGTATTTCCCATTGCTCATGGCCGTTGGTGGAATAGCCACTGTTGTCTGGGACGGATGGCTACATCAGAAGATACGGAGCTTTCGACTGGATCGGAAACGAAGAAATACCCATCCTGAAGCCGCCGAGGAAACGGCAGCGCCACAGAGTCTTCAGGCAGGGGACCAGCAAGGCCATGGCAATTCAAGCGGACCAGAGGACAGCACCCAAATAAGGCCGCGCAGGACAAACGCTCCCGGTGGAAGTAACGTACAATGTGACCAAGCAGGTCTTCTCACCAACCCAAATCAATCAGCGGAAGCCGATAATCCGCAAAAGCATGTTATCCGGCTCAGAGTTGGCATTATAATTACTGTGTTATTCTTTGGTATGACTTGGTAACTACGCACCTCGAGTGGAAATATACTAATTAATCATGTTTATAGCATCCTTCATAGCCGTGCTTGTGGCCAGAGGTGTTCTTCGCACCCCACCCCTGGCTCTTGACCTTTTTGCTAGTATGTACCTTGCCGGAACCGTGATCTTCGGTGGTGGTCCTGTTGTTATTCCACTTTTGCGATCATATGTCGTGGATCCCGGTTGGGTATCAGGCAGAGATTTCCTCCTTGGTCTCGCTATTATTCAGGCATTCCCCGGCCCAAATTTCAACTTCGCTATTTTTCTCGGTGCTTTAGTGCTACAGAAATCACCGTTGCCTACCATATTCGGTGCCATTCTCGGTGGATTGGGAATTTTCTTGCCCGGCATCACTTTGGCTGTGGCGGTCCAGAGCTTCTGGGCAGTGCTGCGAAAGAGAAAATGGGTTACAGACTTCCTTCGGGGGGTTAATGCAACCGCAGTTGGCTTGGTTTTTACCGCAGTTTACCGTCTATGGGAGATTGGCTACCTTACACCTCAAACCACCCGTGGACAAAGCTTGGGCAAGGAGCCGTGGTGGGTCGTTATCGCGGCGGTGACTTACGTTGAGAGCGCATGGTTTGGTATCCCACCACCAGTTGCAATTGTAATGGGTGCAGTCCTCGGTCTTTGCTGGTACGGTGCTGTTGGACGGTGATCTTAGTCCCGTTTCGGTGTGTTAGTAGATTTTGCTTTCTAAGGTGTTCATTGGCAGAGGGTAGCCAGTCTGTCTTCGAGTTATTACATACAAAATTACATTGACAGTCGACAGCACTACCAATTCAAGCAGGAGAGAGATACCCTCCTAGCAATAAAAAGCCTAGCAATTGATTGCATATTAACTCCATCATTAGTAGTTGTACATTCATAAAACTAATCCTTCCTTTTTTTATGTAAACTCTATGTATTATTGCAATCATGTTTCGCCGAGGATACCGCT